TATACATACATTATAGCACTCAGGGGTAGAGCCCTTGCCCCTAGGTTCCATCCCAGCATGGGAAGCAAGTTGGGAGTATGATGGAGATGAGAATTATTTATGGCAAAGTTAGGGTTTATTTTAGTGGGATGTGCTCCCTCAGATAGGAATTGCACTTAGCTGTGTCCTCAGTTACCCCTCTCTGGGCATTAGGGCACTGTCCAGCCTGGGGCCTGAACTGCAGGCTGAGAAACCAGGAGCAAACGATCTCTGATAGAATACACTGGGAGGCCAGACTGGGAAAGTGATGGCAACTACCTACTGTGCAGGTGGGCAAGACAGCCAGGTGTTTTCTGACAGACAGATCTGAGTTTGTGTGTGTGTGTGTGTGTGTGTGTGTGTGTGTGTGTGTTACTGGGGATTGAACTCAAGGCCTTGCGCTTGCCAGGCAAGCACTTATCCTACTGAGCTATCTTCCTGGCCCCAGATCTGGTTTAAATTCTATTTTTTTATATCAACTGCATTGGGTCACTCATGCTATCTCTCCAAGTCAGATTTCTTTAAAGCAGGATAACAACAAAAAAAATCTGTTATAAAGGTTGCATGAGAAAATGTATGTGAAACCCTCCCTGCAGGGCTCGAGCTGGGCATGGTGGTACATGCCTATAATCTCAGAACTCAGAAGGCTGAGGCACAAGGATTGTTGTGAGTTGGAGACCAACCTGGGCTACGTAAGTGAGTTCAAGACCAGTCCACACTACAGAGACTCATGAGTGACACCCTCCTTCAAACCAAAAAATAAAAAAAAAAGTAAAAATTTTAAAAAGGAGCTTGATTCATGACAAGCTCTACCAACTGTGTCTCTAAATAAGGAATACAGTTTCCTTCCCTGGTCCCATCAGAATCATGTGGTGTGTGATTGACTTCTTCAGTCAGGATCCTAAAGACTCTTACAAACATGCGTGGAGATCCTGGCCTTGCTGCAGAGTAGTGTGGTAAACTTTGAGGGGGGTCTCCAGTTTTAGGAAGCAGATGACCCTCTGTGGGTGCCTAATCAACCTGTGTTCCACCCAGCATTATGGGCTGGGCCCTGTCCTGGGGGAAAGGATTGTGACCCCAAGAGACTAGAAGAGGATAAGGAACTATGTTGGGGTCTACCCTGGCTTGGAAGAATCAAGGGCAGGACAAAGCCAAGGGCTAAGCCTTTGTGTAAGGCCCTTGTGTGTGAGTGCTGATGCTACAACGCAAAGCCTCGTGTATGCTAAGCACATGCCGTACCACTAAGCTATATCCCCAGCTGCAACCTTGGGGTTCTGGAACCTTGACTTTCCTACCTGGGGTTGTATGGCCTTGACTGAATCCACTGGGGGTGTGGCAGGCTTTAAAGTACCTGGGGAATACAAAAGTAGCAGTTGGGGCAAAGGGAAATGACTGTGAAACGAGGCTGGAGGAGGAATAAGGCAAGGCAGCATTCCCTGGGGCTTTCTTGCAGGGCAAGGCAGAAGTGGGACACTCCAACCTAGATAACAGCCCAGAGGCCCAGCATCTGGGGCCTCTTCCCAGGATGTGCCTATCCTGCCTGGGCTTAGGGTCTGAGCAGAGGAACAGGAAGGAGATGAGGAGGGAAGACAGAGGGAAGAACAGAAGGAATGGACCTCCGGCAGCCCTGGGCTCCCACCAGCTGAGCCATTCCCAGCTGTGTGACACTGAGCCACACACGTATCCTGAGCCTCCCTTGCCTTCTCCATGGCAGGGAACCCATAATGTTGTCTGCCTTTCCCTAGTGGCTAGTTGGCAGAATCTTGGAAGAGTGAGTTGGGATTTAAGCGCCTGTAGGGACACCCCAAATTAAGGAGATGCTTCTGGGAACTGAAGGAAGTGATTAAGTTCACAGAGGACTATCAGGCTCTCAGAGTCCTTTCCCCGGGGAGAAACCCACAGGATGTGGGCCTGCAATAGTTTCCCCTCCAGAGGAAAGGAGTTTAGGGCCTTTGTTCTTGTGTAAGCAGTTGATGACGCTGCACTAGCAGCCCCATCTGGTGGCTAAAAGGAGAATTTATCACCATAAACGGTGTGGCAGCACACAAGTCTGTAATTTCAGTGCTAGGGAGGCTAAGGCAGAAGGATTGCTATGAGTTGGCGGCCAGCCTGGGCCACATAGTGAATTCAAGTGACCTACACAGGGAGATCCTGCCTAAAAAATATGTTTATCTTCAGAGTAATACCCACCCACTACCCCTGGAGTGGCATGTGAGCCTGATGGGCAGAATGGTAAGTGTACATACATATGGCGGGATGTCAAATTGATATCTTGGGAGAGGCTGAAAGATGAGCATTGATGGAGTCCAGCAGTATTCATACCTCAATTATGAGCTAAGATAAGCCACCCTACCTCTGTGAAGGTGTTTTCTCCTCTGTAAAGTAGGGAGTGGAGAAGTCCTGCTTCCTAGGTCATAAGTCCTCAAAAGATACGTATTTAAACCAGCTAAGTATGGTTGACAATCCACAATGTGACTCCCACAAAGGTAATTGTTGGACAGTGCCAGGCCTAAAGAACATTCAGAAGTGACTGAATCACCAAAAGTGTGTCTGTTTTGACTTTCTCCACTTGGGATGCCTAAGACTCGTTCTTTTCTTGGTGACATGGGGTCCCTGGAGACCAGGTAGGCAAAGTTGGGTCCCGAGTGGTAAAAGCTGGAAGCAGTAAGAAGTTGGGAGGGAGTATAGTATAGGGAGACTTTGGAATCAAAGGAAAAACCTGTGCAGTCTTTGGTGCTGGAGGAGTCACCAATGCACATCACAAGAGCATGGGGACATGAAAGGAGTTCCCACGGACAAACGTCCCCGAGGGAGGGTGAGAACAGGGAACTCATCCTCCCACCTAGCTTCCAAGCTGCTAGTAAGGAAAAGATTTCCTCACAGAGTGAGGACATGAAACCAGAGCTTTAACAAGTGGCAACGGGAACAGTAGAGAAGAGCCAGAGGGCAGCCCAGCCAGGTGAATGTGGGAACTTACTGCACGTAGATGAATTTCAGTTCCTGCTTTCGTAAAAGGGGTTCCTTGTGTCCATCTCACTAACATGGCACATGGTGCAAGTGGAAACCTGCGTACTGCTGCAGCAGGTGGACAGTGGGCAATTCAGAGACAGTGAGGAGCAAGAGAAGCTTTTCCTTTTGTGTGTGAAAATCAGTGTGCGATCTCTCTCTTCCTCTCTCTTCTCTCTTTTGTTCTGCAGATGCGATCAGGTGCACACAGGGTAGTATGGCCGTACACTAGATTTTGCTCTATAGAAGAGAGGCTGTGGTGATTGAGGGAGCTCTCACAGTGCCCAAAGAGCTCATGAGAAGATAGCTGAAGTGTTAGAGAGGTCACAGAGCCAGCATAAAAGCTATCCACATGGGCTTTTTGTGTCAAGCTACCTTGAATCCTCAGAAAGGCTGAAGTTGAGCTGTGAGCCACTCTGGATGCAAAGGAATATGGCAGGGCAAGTTGACTGTTTTCTGTTCATGCTGGGATAAAGCTCCAATAACTTCAGCAGCAAGTAGAGAGAACGAGGGGGAAGGGCTTAGGCTGGAACTGTGGACTTTGGAATTTCTCAATGGAATTAGTTCTTATATTAATAGTTAAGAAGAAGAAAATGTGGTGCATTATGTCTTGAAGCATTTTTCCTTTTTATGGCTGAGTAAGAAGTATGCTTCTATTTCCTTGTTACCCTGGCATAATGGCTGGCCTGTGAGTGTCCAATGAATCTGAACAGTTCTTCAGGAGAATAGGAGCAACAGAAACAGCACAGAAAGATGAGGAACTCACACTTGTCCAGTCTAGGAGAAGGTATCCCAGTATCAGCACAACTAGCTGCTGTGTTTCAAGGTTGCCACGCAGTAGCTCATGGGTCTTGCTCCTGAGCTGGGTTCCTATTCATCTAACTTCCCAAGTGTCCTTCGTAGCATTTTCTTCTCACCTTCTCTCCCACATTTGCTGGGCCCCCAAACATGGCAGATCTGAGTCACTAACCCCATTGACATCCTCAGGGCCTGACACAGCAGACAGGCTCTGGCAAGTTTCCTAACCTTTCTGAACCTCTATCTACTGGTAAAATCAGAGAGCTGACTACATCAGTGGTTCTCAAATTTGAGCATGAACAAACCCAGAGGGTTTGTTGATGCATTATTTAGTAGTTCTAGGGAAGGATGTATATCTAACTTGCATCTCCAATACCTTTCCAGATACTATTGATGTTGGTGCTCCATAGGCCATACTTTGAGAACTATTGGGCTAGGTCAATTACACACCAACTCTAATTGATTGGTAATGTCTACCTAATGCAATGTGTGAGGTTGAGAAGGATTAGCAATGTCTGTCATGGGCATGTATCACAGGGAAAGTAACATGTATTTGCTCTCTCCTGACTAAATGATCTCCAAGGACTATTTAGAGCATTGTGGAACCATAAAATTAAAAGGCCAGGCTTCGGACTCACCTCCATGGGATCTGGGCGGCACCAGATCCGGATGAGACTATGGTTCCTCAGGGACTCATCCCCTGTGGCAATGCTGGTGATCACAGACTTGTCTAGCTGTGAATAAGATGAGAGTGGGAGAGTGAGGGCGATGTTCCTTATTACTTCCAGCCTCAACCCCATGCCAGGCCCTGTCCCCACCTGAATGATGAGCTTTGTGAAGGGCTCCGTGATGATTTTGAGAAGGTCAGGGGCATCACGGCCACCTCGGATATTGAAGGAGGCAACCACAAGTTCGGTGATGTGATGCAGGTACCCAGTGGCAGCCTCCAGGGGCAGTAGGACCAGAACGGATAGCCAGTTAAAGCAGTCGTGTACCGTGGCCCCCGCGAAGGCCCTGGGCAGGGAGGCCACGTTGCAGGGTAGGCTGGAGCCAGGGGGCGCTCATCCTGGAGGATCCTAGCATGTGGGGCTGCCCTGCCTCGATGAGCAAAAGCCCTACCCTCCTACCCTCTCCTTACCTCCTGAAGTCAGTTCTGTCCCCTGCCTGCATCAGGGCCACGATGGTATTGGTGACAGAGGTGCCAATGTTGGAGCCCATAATGATGGGGATGGCAGATCTCACTTCCAGCACTGGTAGAAGAGGTGATTTCTTTAGGTTTTTTTTTTTTTTAGACAGTGTCTCACTCTGAAGTTCAGGCTATGGATCCTAGCCTGCCCTTGACCCTGAAGCCATCCTCCTGCCTCAGCCTCCTGAGTGCTGAGATTATGGGAATGTGCCACCACATCTGGCGAGGTGATTTTTTTTTTTTACCTAACTAGATGAGGGCCACTTGGCTCCAGTCACATAACATCTGCTAATCCCATGGTCCATGTGGCTAGGGTGAGTGTGTGCATGTGTGTGCATGTGCTGCAAGGTCTCATGTCTCATACAAACACATATTTATGCTTGTGTGTGTATGCATGCACACAAGTATACTGATTGGCTTTTTGTGTCAACTTTACTAGCCTATAGTGTTCAGTTATTCTAGCAAGCACAAGTCTGAGTGTTTCTGTGAAGTTATTTCATAGATGTGATTTCTCCTTTTTGTTGGCTTTAAAGATGATTATGCTTAATGAAATAGGTGGCCCTCATTCAATGGGAAGAAAGGCCTTAAAAAGAAAACCAAGGCTTCCCTGAGGAAGAAATTTCACCTATGGATTTCAGCATTGGTTCTGTGTGTGAGTGCATGCATGTGCGCGTGTGCGCGCGCGGGCGCGCGCGCGCGCGTGTGTGTGTGTGTGTGTGTGTGTGTGTGTGAGAGAGAGAGAGAGAGACCAGGAATTGAACTTCCACTTCCCAAGCAGGCACTTATGCCACTGAGTTATCTCCCCAGCCCTCAGCATTGGCTTTGCCCAGGAATTCCTGCCTGTTCTTCCAGATGGCCTGCTCTGCAAATTTCAGACTCAACTAGCCCGTGCCACAATTGTGCAAAGAAATTTTTTGCAATAAATCATAGTATAGACTCAGCTCTGCTTTAGAGGGCAGATGTTAGAGCCCTGCCCTTTGCCCTCAGCCCTCTCCCCCTTTCAGTCCTGCCCCTCATCCTACACCCTTTCCATGCTCCCCAGAACCATCCAGCACTCCAGGCTTTTGGCCTGGCCTACTCACAGCCAGAGGAGACCATGCTGACAATGATGGATGTTGAGGTGCTAGAGCTCTGCACCAGCACAGTTACCAGGATCCCCACCACCAGCCCTGCCACTGGGTTGGACAGGATGGCATTATCCTTGAAGATGTCTCCAGCCACCTTCCCTGGGGAACACAAGCCAGTGTCATCTGAGATCCTCCTAAAACCTCTCCCTGGCCTCCTCCAACTAGGCCCTACCTCCGGCCAGTTGAAAGGCTGAGCTGAGCACATCCAGGGAGCAGACAAAGAGGTAGAGGAAAGCCAGCATCAGTGGTACCTTGAGAAATGTGGTGCAAGCCTGGCATATCTTCTGGACCAGTTTGGGCTCTGGAGGCAAGCCAGACATGAGCATAGCAGGCAGGAGACTGGGGCCATGACTGCCCTTTCCCCTGCTGCCCCCTGACCCAGGCAACCTGGCTTATGTTCCTCCTCCAACACCACCTTGGCAGGTAGTGGGTCATGGAGCTCCAAGACCTCTCCATAGGGGCATCCATGCTCTGTGAGGGCCACTGGGCTCAGGCTGGGGAAAGCATAGGCGGTTGTCCCTGGGATCCTGTGCAGGACTGCGAAGGAGGTTGGTTAGGGGTTTCCAGAGGCCCCAGGGGCCCAGAGAGAAGGAAAGGCAAGCAGAAGAGTGGGGAACTCACCAGGGATGTGGGCAACCATGGACAAGCACGGTCCAGGGTGTGGGAACAGCACTCACCCTGTGGGCTGGGCACATAGGCAAAGGCTGCCCCATGCATCACATGTCTTCCACGGACTGGAAGTGGGGAGACGGCAGGGCTCCCCAGCCTTTCTCCATAGGACATCATATTGGACACTGGCAGTGAAGCCTGCATGTCAGGGATTGCAGCAACGCTGAATGACAATTGCTGTGTCATAGACCCTCCTGCCACACACATGCAGATGGCCGTGCACAAATACGCATCCCACCCCTCTTCTCAGATACACTCAGAGATGCACACTCAGGTGCTCAGACCCAATTTCACATTCGTGTGTGTGTGTGTGTGTGTGTGTGTGTGTTATTGGAGCTCAATCAAACCCAGGGCTTTTCATATGGTAGGCAAGTGCTCCACTACTGATCTACATCCATATCTCTGCAAGTATTTCTTGCACATCTACTTTATCCCAGGCTCTGGGCTTGATGATGGGCTACCATAGTAATTAAAGACAGATATAGCCCATTGCCCCAAGGAAGTTCAAGGTCTAGTGGAGAGACAGATATAAGTGAAATAATCTCTCAATGAGTGGGAAATGACAGTAATGGGGTTATGATAGATAAAGCTAGCACTAGAGTGTTCCATGATAAGGCATGGGCTCTTGGAGAAGGAAACTATGAAGCTGAGATGAACATGGTAAGTGGTTGGAGAAGAAGAGGGGCGTGTTTGCAAAAGTCTTGTGGCCGGAGAGAGCCCAGATGCTCAGAAACTGAAATTGCCATGTATGCAGCTGGAGGCGGGCAGGGAACGAGTGAAATTAGAATGCACAGGCTACAGGTGTAGGCCAGGTAAGCCATGCACAAGGTTTCTCCACCCTGAGAGTAGCGAAGAGTCATGGGCACCTGCCGGCTGAGGACATACTTGGAGAAGGCTCCCCTGAGCTGAATCCCCCTCACGATGCCCTTCTTTCCTCCATCTACCTCTTCAAATGGGCGATAGACAAACACTGGGAATCTTTTCCATGAATGAGGCCCAGATCAGGACTGGCCTTCCTTAGGTGCTCCCTGTACTGTCCCAGGAGCTCTTGGTTCTTGGGGTGGGGGGGGTGTCCCCAACCTGCTCCAACCTGCTTCAGTGTCTCCCCACATTGTCCCAGAAGTCTGTGGTTACTGGGGTAGAGAAGTATGAATTCCAAATCCCACAAAAGCAGCCCTTTCTGGTCTGGAGGAGTGAATCAGGCTGGCCTGTGATTAGTATGTTAGAGGGAGCAGGAAGGGGAAGCACAGACAGAGACAAGGAGTGGGGTGATGGGCTGGCAAGCTTGGGATGTGGGGCCCTGGTCTCACCTTGAGGGTCTATGTTTCAGCTTCTGTATAGCAGCTCAGGGAAGACTCCAGGGGTCTAAGGGGTAGCTGAGACCTTCTCTTTATACCTTCGGGTCAAGGGCAAAGTCCCTAGAACTCCAGCTAGCCTTCTTATGTTCCCCAATTAATTTCATCCTGAGATTCCTCTGAGTTAATTGCTAATCTTCAGCTCTGCAGGGGAGTCTGTGGTCAGACTCTACCCTCCCCAACTTAGATGGTCAACCAGAACCATGATCCTGCCAGGGCAGGGCACATCCCTGCCCCCAGGCACAGAATCTTGCTTCCCTTTCATGGTACTGTGAAGCTTGAGTTAGGGCCCAGATTCAGAGTAATGAGGAGACTTGAATTGGAATAGAAGGTCTTATCAGATTAAATAATGGTGGATTCCATTTAAGACCTAGTTTAGACCTCCAAAATTGTGTGGATTTATATAGCCACTATTTCCAAAAGCAATTTTTTTTTTTTTTTTTATGTGGGGCTGGTTCAGCCCTAGTGACAATGAAACTTTAGAGCTGACCAGATCTTCTATCACAGTTCCTGGGAGCAACAAAGAAAATGGCTCTATTTTATCCCTGAAGATTTGAGTTTCGGCTCCTCTGTTCATTTTAAGACTACCCCTCCCCAAGTGCCTGTCTCTTTATTTTGGCTGGTGACGGATTCTGTGTGTTCCCCTGGATAATGACTCCCACCCTGTCTGTGTACTTGGGCTCTGGACATGGCTTCCCTAGACTTCTTCTTGGTCCAGAAGCTTGTTGGTTGGGGTTATCACACTGTGAGGAAAGGTACAGAGGAGAAACCATTTGGCAGGAAGCTGCCCCTGCGCAGGCTATGTCAGAGGGGCCCTTGGCAGCAGCAACTGGCTCTGTCTGTCTGAGCACATGAGGCTCCTCACCCTACCCTGAGTGAGCCTCCTTTGTGTTCCTGATCTCTACAAGCAGTGTGTGGTCCATCAGTGGGAGCCGTACACCAGGCAGACATCCTGGAGGTTTATTTTGTTCCACCCACTCATCTCCAACTCTTCCTCCATTTTCCTAATTTTATCTCTCCTTTCACCACCCAACATCTCTGTGATACCTTCCTGGACCGAGCCACCCTGGGCTGAGTCTTTGCCTCTGTGGAATTGCAGTGACCTCCCAAGTGTCCTGCCCTGAAATTCGTTCTCCATAGAAAGCAGCCAGTGATCTCTTTAAAATCCAAAGTTAATCATGTCACCCCTTTCTTTCTTTAAAAACATGTTAACTACTTGAATGAAGACCAGCATGCTTAGGGCTGGCCAAGTACCTTAGTGGATTAAAGCTCCTGCAAGCAGGCTCAGGGGCTGGGGGTTCAATCTTCTGGCCTGCCACGCCAGCCCCACCCCTGGGGCACATTGAGACAGTGATTGAGACTGGGTGTGGTGGCACACACCTGTAATCCCAGCTCTTGGGAGGCTGTGAACAGGCAGATCACTATGAGTCCGATCTAGTCGTGAGACCCTGTACAAAAAACCAAAACAAAACAAAACAAAAAAAGGCATCAAGAACAGCACTGGCACAGCCTGGAAGGACCAGTGCAATTTAGCTTCCTTCCCACCCCTCTGGCCTCAGACTGCCTGGGAAGTCACACCCCAGCGAGAGTGTGTGTAATGAAGAGAGATTGGGCCCACGGCTGAGCCCAGAAGTGCACCTACATTTTACAGAGGGTAAAGCAGACAATCAAGCAAAGATGACCAAGAGAAATGTCCAGGGATGAAGAGAAAAACCAGGAAGAAATGCAGGTGCCCTGTAACCCTGGGTTGACCAAGTTTTGAAAGAGACACGCTGATCAGCTGGGTCAAATGCCGCTGAGATGTCAAGTGATCTGAAGGAGGTAGAGACAGCTGCTGCTGGTTGGGGCGGGATGGGTGGTGGTGAGACACAGTGGTAACAGCACAGCCAGCATGAATGTGAGAGGCTGACATAGATTGGATTTCACAGTGCCGGTGAAAATAATTTCTATGGCAGAATAGAGAGAGAGACTGTTCCCAAGAACACGGGTGTGGAGTCAGGAACAGAGCAGGTTGTTGGCACAACCAGCTGATTTTGCAATTCTTGGTTAATATCCATTTGCTCTTTAAATATAGTTTCCTGAATGTGAATTTTCTACAGGACTTGAAGTTTAAGTACAATCAAAGGCCAAAAAAACCAATGTTCGAGACCATTCTGCTATGAGCTGAATTGTCTGTGGGAGGTGAGGGAGACCTTGTTTATGATCCATTTAATCCCACAACAATGCTCCCCATCAGCGCAGTTTGAGGACCCATGCCTCTTCTCACAGCAGGGCACTAAGTCGTGAACACACAATCCTCCATGGGTCAGCACAGGACTGCGCTCTGGGAAGACGGCAGGGATCCTTATCTCAGCATTCAGGCCACCAGGACTGCACATGTACACACGCACCACACACGCATTCCTTGCCCACCAGTGGTCAGGGCAAGGGTTCTTATCCCTGCACTGGCAGATACAGCAGTAGGGCCACCAGCTTCCTCCCCCTGGGGAACAGAGTACAGCCTGCCCTAGTTCTCCTGACTTGGTCCTCCTTTGGAGAGCTTGGTTTCAATCTGAGCTGGCCAGGGAAGCTCAGTGCAGACTGAGCCTCGAGACATTGTCTCATCTAAGTCCCATTTTGCAGATGGGGAAACCAAGGCACCCTCTGATCCCAAGACTGGGATGGCTGACCTGAGGATGTGCCATTCTTTGGGTGACAACCACCTGTATAATTATTAATCCTCGTGCCCCAGGCACTGGTCACTCATTTACAGACAAGGGCAGAGTCTGTGTCCAAAAGAGCTGAGACTGCTTTGAGCTTTTTGGAAATTGCCTCTTCCCTGCAGCTCCCTCTGTCATGTGGCTCCAGCCCTTGTCTTTCATGCTGGTCTCAGGGTCCAGCATGGAGAGAGTAAGGCTGTGGACAACATGGAGAGCATGCTACAGAAGTGGGAGTTCCAGGCTCTGGTATCTAGCTTCCAGACCCAAAATTCTGAGATCCAACTTTAGGTTTCAGGTCTCAGGTTCTGTGTTCTGGGCCTCAAACTTAGCTCCAGGTTCTGGAATCTGTACCCTAATTCTACTTCCAGCTAGGAGTTCCAGCCCCTGAATTCTAAATTCTTAGTTCCAAGCTCTGGATTCTGGGATCAGTTTTCTGAGTTCCAGTCTTTCAGATATAGTTTCTGGCTTTGAGGTCAAGCTTGGAGTTCTGGTTCTAAGCATCGGACTCTGGGTTCATCGCCAATTCCAGATTCCTGGCTCCAGGTTCTGGAATTCAGGCATTTGGTTTCAGGATCTGCATTCTGGGCTTCAGACTCCAGCTCCAGGCTCTGGGTTCCAGAACTAATGCTCCAGTTCTGTGTTCACACTCTAGGTTATTTATTTATTTATTTTTATTTATTTTTTTTTTTTTTTGCAGAACCAGGGATTGAACTCAGACCCTTGCTCTTGACAGGGAAGCGCTTATTCCACTGAGCCATCTCCCTGGCCCCACACTCTAGGTTTTGATCTGGATTCTAGGTTCCTTCAGCCCCTCAGCAATAGGGTAGCAACTTGGTGGTTCTCTGACTACTGGGGTCAGGCCCACCCACCCATTCATCTTTGCGGTCAGAATGTCATCCTGACATCCAGTACCCTAGGCTGGTCTGTGGTAGTTTTCTTTTTTGCTTTATGTTTCTGTTCCATCCTCAAGCCAATTCTTTGTAGATAAGTGCTAAGATGGTCACTGAGCTCCCTTTGCCCAAGGGAGGCACATTTATGTTCCCAGCTCTTCCTGGGATGTTGAAGGATAGGAATGGCACCCCCTGGAGTTGTTCACTTCAAGGGCTGTGTAGGATTCAATGTAGCCAACTGATTGTATTCTTCCCCTCTCTGGGTCTTTGTTTCCCTGTGAAAGTGACCTTCAGCTCCCACAACCCTCAGAAGCCACAGTCACCTGACTAGCAAGCCAGGCCCCCTGCAGGGTGCACCTTGGCTGTCCCAGCTAGCATTGACCTGCTGCTGTGTCAGCATAGTTTCAGCGGGGGCACCAAGTGAGCAGGCAGTGCCCCAACTGCCCCCGCTCTGGCCCAGAACCAAGGTCCCAGTGTATCCTGTGTCCAGCTCATACCTCTTCTCTAGCCTTTGTGGGGAAAGACAAGAGATGGGGAGCAAAATTGTCTCTTAGAGCTTGGAGTCCTATGGGTTCAGGTCTCATGGTTGTTCTCAGGAAGTTGTACCTGATCTCTTAGTCTGCATCTTTCATAAAATTAGGTGTTAGGGTGTTTGTTTGTTTTTGAGACAAGTCTTGCTATATAGTTCAGGATCTTTGAATTCATTATGTAGCCCATTGTGATCCCCCTGCCTCAAATAACTGAGTGCTTGGATTACAGGCATGCACCTTGATATTCGGCTTACAATGGTATATCTGAAAATTGCTTAACAAATAAGCCTGAGTGCTGGCAAAGTCCCACAGAAGCATCCATGCGTGAGCCTGGATTAGTTACTTCCCTTCCTGCAAACCTGCTTTCATCTCACCTGCTTGTTTGTTGTGATAATGAAGATGGGATAAAAGATGCCTCACATCCATTTTGGGGAACTCAGTATATGTGAGTTCCTACCCTGTAGGAGCTGACTTCTTTTTTTCTTTTCTCTTTCTTTTCTTTTCTCTTTCTTCTTTCTTTCTTTCTTTCTTTCTTTCTTTCTTTCTTTCTTTCTTTCTTTCTTTCTTTCTTCTTTCTTCTTTCTTTCTTTCTTTTTTGCTCTGAATGCCCTCAGGCATGGTTTGTCTGGCTGGAGTGTTGTGGGAGTCGAACTACAGCAACCTGAGGCTCACAGCTTTGTGGAAGCAGCCACTTAAAGAACTGAGCTATGGCCAGGCCCCCTCTTTCTTTCTTTCTTTCTTTCTTTCTTTCTTTCTTTCTTTCTTATGGGGTCTTGCTATGTAGTTCAGGCTGGTCCTTAAATCATTATGTAGCCCAAGCTGTCCTTGAACTTAAAGCAATCCTCCTGCCTCAGTCTCCCAAGTGCTCGGATTATAGGCATTTGCCACCACAATAGCCAAGGAGTCTACTTCTACGAAGCTCTTCACTTGGCCTTGACCAACTTTTCCCAAGGAGCAGTCTCTTTGGCCTCTAGGGCTAACAGCCATCATTGTTGGGTCTACAGAAATAGGGGATGGGTGAAAGCTGGGTTTGGTCTGCAGGATCTGCCTGTCAGCATCAGGGAAGTAGCCATCTCTCACTTGGTGCAATGTCCCCACCTCTCTATCCTGAGATAGATAAAGGGGTGTCTCTTTTCACAGGGGTTCCCAGGAAGTCTGAAGAAAGTTCTGTGGCTGCTCAGAGAAAGGCCATGACTTCTCCCTCCTCTCACCCTAATCTCACACAGCAACCCTAGTGCTGCGCAGTCCGCTGTCAAGACTCCTGATGACCCATTGTCCCTGTATGCTCCGCTGAGACCATCAGAGACTGCTGGGGTGGTCAGTGAATCAGGACTTATGTGGTCGCAGATCTTAGAAACAAACACACATGCCCAGAAAGTGTTTGGTTGACTAAGAAGAAAGTCTACAAATGGTCAATTTTAGGTATTTTCAGAATCTCTCAGTCCTATTCTCCTGTGCTGGCTTCATTCCTGTGCTGTCTCTTCTTGAAGGTCATTTGCACAAATCCCTAGGAGGTGGTAAAAAATGACCAGGACTGAGATTTTGATCGGAACAACTAAAGTCAGAGGAGCATACAGAACCCAACCCTGACTTGCTGGAAGAATGGAGTATCTGATGGGCCTGGATCACCAGCTCACCTAGCAGTTTATGCCTCAAGCCAGATAACATAGGCTGAATGGGCAGAAGGTAGAAGCTGGAAGAGGAAGGCAAAGCAGACCAGAAAACTTCAGTGGTCTATCACACCAATTTTAAGGAGGAAGAAGAATTGGTTGGATGAGAAGAGAGATAGTAGGGGAGTCCCACTAGAGGGGTCAGTAGGTGTAGCCTGAGTTGACTGAGGCAGGCAGGATTCTCCCTCACATCCTCAGAGGAGGCTCTCCGAAAGCTCTTTCTTCTGTGGCAGTACTTACCTCTCTGGGTTGGGACAAGTTGGGACAGGTTGGGGGCCCTCCTCCTGGAAGGTCCTCCTTGCTTCCCTCCCTTTGGAGAGTCCTAACTTCCCTATCTACCTGGAGACAGGAAAACTCACCCAGTCACAGCAAGTATGTGTGAGAATCTGCCCCCCAAAACCACTAGTGTCCTCATATAGGCCTTTTCTGTTTTGTTTTGTTTTGTCTTGTCTTATTTTGTTTGAGACAGTCTTACTATATAGTTCAGGCTGGCCTCGAACTCGCTATGTAGTTCAGGGTGGCCCCAAACTCACAATCATCCTGCCTCAACTTCTCAAGTGCTAGGATTAAGGCATGTGCCACCATGCCTAACCCCCATATAAGCCTTTGATGCATCCAAATGAGCCCCAACTTAGGTGTGTAAAGACGCACTCGGGCCTAGATAGAAGCAGAGAACAGCAGCCAGAATGATGACCGGGGCACAGCCGCAGGGGAGGGAGCAGCAGTCTCTCTCTTATGCACTCCTCTGCCCCTGTGTTCTGTGCAGTCAGGAAAAGAGATTCTGAAAACAGGAAGTCAAGAGGTACATCCTGAAGTCCGTGCGAACTTCCTGGCACTCACTTTGGTGATAGAGGCAGTGTGGTTTGTCATAGGGGGTGGGGAGCAGAGCAGAGTGACACACAAGGAACACACCTCATGGCAGAATAATAATAATAATTATAATAATAACATCATACACCCAGGACAAGCCCAGCTGCCCCAAGCCAACTGCAAAATCCATATGTACAATAGAGTCTCTGTGGGCATAGGAAGGGGCTACCCACCTGCACCCCTAAGCCTTAATCTCATCCACTCCCTAAGGAGGGGCCAGCCCCTCCTTTTGCCCCCTGCTGAAACTTGGCACAGGCTGGGGAGGCTGGCACTGCCCATGCCACCCCTCCATGATGGGCACAGCTGCACCAAGGAGTAGGGCCACACCCTCCTGGTGCCTGCTGCAGACAGATGGGTGAGCATCTGAGAGACCAGGTGGTGGCAGCTGTGGGACATGGCTCCTCTGAGTCACCCTCCTCCTGGCTCTTCCTGTGGGCCTGCCCATGGCAGGAAATGGCCAGGGACACTCATGGCACAGACAGGGCATGCAGAGCGGACCCATGGCATGCTTGGCCCGCCAGGTGCCATACAGCCAGCCTGGGCTGTGAATAAAGTGTCAGAAGGCTGAGTGGGTAGTGGAATCTGAGGGGCTCCCCCTGGGCTGGGTAGCTGATTTGGTCTGTAGTGGAGCCTCTGGGGAGTTGGGCTGTTGGGCAGGCAGCTGTAGAAATTCTGGAAGTACCAGGTCCTCTTTTCGAAGAAGGCCCCTCTGGTCATGGGCCCCACAGCTCTGCACCCGGTTCAGCAGCTCTACCAGGCCTGAGGGCAGCCACAGAGTCATAAGGCCCACCCTCCTCACACTGCCTCTGCTAGCCTACCTCAGTCTGGTTGCCTTACTATGACCGTAGCCTCCTGACCTCAGCCCCTGTGACTGCTGTGGCCCTTATCCAAGCCCTTCTTGTCCTCCAATTGTAGCGGCCTCAGGCTGTCTGGTTCCAGGGCCAAAGGCACTCAGGTCACTGCTTTAGCTAAAGTTTCTCTGATGCTTCTGCACTTCCCTAGTCCCTCTGGTCCCCAGTCCCCACCATTCCCGCGATGTACCTTCAATGTCACAAGTCTGCCGTTTCCCAGTGGTACTACTGGGCACCTCCAGAAGAGAACTGGGGAGCTGTGGAGAGAGATGAGTGGCCTTGTCCTGGGCCCTAGGAGGGTCTCCCTGCAAGAACATGGGTTAGTCACAGCCAGGAGATGGAGGAAAACTAGCAGGTGGACAAAGGCATCCTGGGACTCTTGCTTACCGGGCTGGAGGAGGGGGATATATTACTGGCTCCACTGATCTTTGCACCTGTGACAGAATGCCACTGTTGTTGTCTGCCTCTTGCCTAGACCCCCATCCTCCTGGGCCAGAGCCATACCCAGATATCAAATTTTAGGTCAGTGACCCTACCTGCAGGGGTGTCCAAGACCAGTCTCTGGGCGGCCACTGAGCTCACTAGCTTCTCTAGATCCAGCAGTTGCTTCTCACCTGGCTGTGGGGAGAGGTCAGCAGCTTTTGGGATAGGTAACCAGCTCCCTGCCACCCAGAACCACCCCTGGCCAGCTGCCCCTTGGCTCACCCGGTGCAGAGCCACCTGTTCCAGGCTGAGGCCATGCTTTGCCAGGATGGGCTGCAGAGCTTCCTGCAGTCGCTTAGTGGGTTTTGCAGAAATCCGCACCACGCGCTCCAGCACTGCCAGCTCGAGCCTGCACAGGACCCCTAGGCTGCAGAGGGGCAGAGGGCCAGCTCCCCTCTCCCATAGCCCTCCCAGGCAGGCCCAGGGTGTGCAGGAATGAAACCAGAAAAGTAAAACTGGCTTGGGGTGGGATTTGAGCCCGGGAGTAGAGTCTGAGGGAAGCTGGGAGACCCACATGCAGAACCAAACCAAAGCAGTGTACGACTCCAGACCCAGCCAAGGAGTGCAACACTCACTCGAAGGTGACCCTGTTCTCCAGCCGCACTTCCTGGTCTGCCAGCACTGTACAATCCTGATCCAGGACCAGGGGTTTCTGCAGACACCAGGGCAGGTCTAAGAATCCCTCCCTCCACCCTAAGCCTGAACTACATAGAGAGACTCTGTTTCAAAAATGCAAAAAGAGGGCTGGTGAGATGGCTCAGTGGTCTAAAGCACCTACTTAGAACAAGCTTAGCAAAGCACATGGACTGAGGTTCAATCCCCCAGCACCACATGCCAGCCAGCCCTGCCCTCTGGTGGGCTGAGCTGGCCACACACACACACACACACACACACACACACACACACAAATAAAATTTAAAAAAAGCAAAAAGAGTGGCAAGAATGCTGAAGGAAGCTCAGAAGGACTAGAGTTGTGAGATACAGAAGGATGGGGGGCATGAAATGGCCTGATGGAGAGCTATGGTAGGAGCCAGGCTTAGGTCCTTGATCACTGGTCACATCTGCCTCCTGAACAGCTGCTCCTGTCTCTCAGTCATGGGAAATCCAACCAGACCAGTTAGCTAAGTCTCCTTCCTCATTGCCCTCCTGTGGACAGCCACCCAGGACTTGTCCCTTTTTTTTAAACACAGGTCTGTCTCTCCATCCCCTCTTTGCTAAGGATATTCCTTGTCTTTTCACTGTAGAAAAGGTGCCCATCCCCTCAGACTGCTGTGCAGCCAGAGAGACGTGAAGTACTGGCATGGTATGTGGAGCACACTAGGTACATAAACAGTCATGGTAATCGTGCCCACCGTCCAGAGGCCTCACTGTCTGTGCCAGCTCTGGGAGGTGGTGAGAGGGAGGGGAAAAGCCTCTTCCAGACAGTGAGCCTGTGCTGTGCAGCAGAGACAGGTGGAGCGTGGGTGGCAAAGTTATATTTAGCAGGTATGAATGCCCATCTGGGCTGCTGGCGACTGCTCTGGAGCCTTGAGAGAGTGAGCATGGTGCCTCCCCCTACTACCCTCATATTCCCATGCCCCAGGCTCCTAAACAGGGCCTACACATCTCCACCTCCAGTCCTTTGCTTAAGCTGTTCCCTCTGCCCAGAATGTCTTCTGCCACAGCTCTGCCAGGTAGATTCCTTCCTGTCCTCACCAATTTTTGCTTCTTCCATTAAGCCTTCCAGACACCAGCCAGAAATGCCAACCTTCCCCCCAAGAAACTTCTACTGGGAGTTTGATTCCTCCTCCCCAACCACCTCTTGCCTGGCTCACCTCCAGATTGTGGGCATGGAAAGCAGAGCCTGGGTCTGCGTCCTGCTCACCCACTCGGCAGGGCCTTAGGGCTGGACTACTAGGTGAATGAAGCCCTGGTGGCCTGCGTGGAAGGCAGTAGTGTTCCTTCAGATCCCCTGCCTGGAGGGTTCCATTTAAAGAGATTTTCCCCTAATTACCTCTTGAAAGTTTAATTCTAGGTTGTACCTAGAGGAAAGGTGTTCAGTGGTCAGGTACAGTTGAATGACTCTGGTGGCAGAAGAGGTTAGGGAAATTTTAAAGGGATGACAGTCTGAATCTAGGGAGCAATGACGAAAATCCCAGATTTATTAGTGACTTTTTCTGGGCTTTACCTCCCTAAGACCATCAATATGGGACACTAATGAAGCTGCACTTTAGGATGGGTATGAAAGGGAGGGATTTTTGTGGAATATAGGTGGATGTTCAAGTTTGAATAATGAGTTGGTGCTGGGGCTGATTTAGAATCAGGCGTAGGGCTAAGGTGGGTTGTGGGGCTGTGCTGCAGGCTGGGGTTAGGAAGAGGGTGAGGACAGAGAAAAGGGCTGGGTCAGTAGAACTGGTGCAGGATGGAGTCAAGTCAGGATCAGGAAGGTCAGACTTAGGGCCAGGTCAGCATCATACCTGCTCATTGCCCACCAGGTAGACTTTGATGTCAGGTAGGGAGAGGCCTCGCTTCTCACAGATGCCTGCCAGCATGTCACGGATGGTGAGACCAGGTCGAGCCAGGGCCAAGGAAGCTGTGCCGTCAGGCAGGTACACACAGCAGTACCTCCCAGGCTGGCTTTCAGTCTCACCCTCGGTGCTCCCAAGGCTCTTTCGGTGGCTCTGGCTCTGGCAGGAGTGGAGGGAGGGTGTGGGTGTACATGCAAAGGCATGCAGTCAGCACATGGAGGCAGGTAAGCTGGCTGGGGCACACACATACAAGGACACACCTGGAAGCAGGCAAAGATGTGTCCTGTGGGAACATGGGTGTACACAACCAAGTGTGTGCACAGGTTCTCCCACTGACATCTACACACATGTTGTGGCTACCTGCGACCTGCACATGCACATACAGCTGCTAGAAGGGGATGCGTGCCCAGGACACTCATGAGAAAGAAAAAGAGGGTGAAGGTTTGGCTCCATAGGACGAGCTAGAAATGGAAGTGAGGTCAGCAGCTGAGAAGGGCAAGCACCACATAAAGGGCAAGGAATGGTCCTCATCCACAATGTACTTTGTTTCCCCAGGCTCACCTCAGATTTGTTGCTGATGAAAGCAAGGAAGCCGAGGTCCAGACTGGCTGAGGAATTGAGGGAGCCCTGAGATTCTCGGCGCAAGGCCAAGTGTGTGGACTTGCTGTCCAGCTCTAGAGGAAGAGGCACAATGAGCAGGCACAACCTCCTGCTCCTCACCCATCCTCCACAGAGGTCTCGCCCCCGCGTCTGCTGGGCCTTGTTCCAAGCCCTCCAGCAGGGGCCATGTGGTGTGGGTCCCTGAAAAGTTGCTACCATGGGAGACTCCCAAGCTTTTAGAGTCTAGCCTGGGAGCAGAACCACCTAGGGATATGAGATGGTCTCAGGGAGTGGCATTTCTTTTCTGTTTTTACAGGCTTACCAACTGGATAGGTCATAGAGGAAGGGGCATTCCCAAAGCACCTCTGTGGCCCCCTCCTGCCCTCACCTTTGCGGAAGGATTTGCGGAGTGGGCGGCCGCCGTGACCCTCAGGTAGTGGCAGCTGCCCCAATTCCTCCACGCCCAAGGGCAGCGACTTCCCAGGCTTCAGTTTCGGCTTCTATGGGTATAGAGAAGGGGGCTGGGGTCTCACCTCCACATAGGTCCATCACAGGCTGACACCTCATATCTTGTTCTCTTGCAGATCGACCTCTGGACTCCCGTCCCCACCGCCCCTAGTCCTCACCTTCCGTGTGGTATCCGGGCTACCGAGGCTCGAAGAGCCAGGTTCTCTTAAGGGGCGCCCCTCGGCCTCTGCCAGTAGACACTCTCGGTAGAGCGGCGATTTGACGAAGCGTGCATAGCTGTCGAATTTCATCAGGTTGAAGATCTGCAAGGCAGGTGGAGAAGTGTCGAGCCGCCTTGCTGCCATGCCTGTGGGGCTGCCCCCTACCTCAGCCGAAGGATGCAACCTCTTCTCCACTCCCATCCCAGCTCTAGCGGTAAGCTCCAGGTAGAAGCCCCGCCCCCAATTCTTGGCCCCGCCCCTAGCCCAGCTAGGTCTTCTACTTAGGTCCTCAGCCTCTGGTGCTGCGCTCTGGCCAGCTCTGCTACTGAGTTGCCCCTTCCCTCTGGCCCCGGGATCTGACACCACCTCTACTCCCTTGCTCCCTCTTTCAAAGTCACTCTCTTGGCAAAGGATGCGCCCTTGGCACAGCTCACCTGAAGTTGCTGCGCCCGAAACATATCCGGCCGGGGCTGAGCCAGCACCTCCTCGCCCAGCCAGGCCTGTCTGTCGATGTTCACCGGGCTCAGTGCCTGGCTGGACAGGAACTCCTGGTAGATGTTGCGGGCCTCCTGAGCTAGCTGAGGAGGAGTGGCAGGAAGAGGTCGGGCACCGTCCAGCCAGGTCCGTGCCTCTGCTACACCCCCCTTTCCGCACCTGCTCGGTGTCGCTGGCTGGAATCTGCTGGAAGCGCTCACAAGCCTTCCAGAAAGTCACGTTCTCCGCGCTGAACTCCTTCTTCAGGAATTCCTGGAGGCAAGGAGGGGAAGGTGGCCAGCTACAGGCTGAATCTGGGGATGTGTTCAAGGAAATAGGGACCCACAAGGGCCAAGAGACCAGAGAGACAGAGACAGACAGGCACGTGGTACCCGATCTGGGAGAGAAGCTGAGAAGCTGGAATGAGGACAAAGAGAAGGAAGAAGAGGGAGCAGCCAGAGGACAGGAGGAGTGCCAGAGAAGGTCTAGATGGGCTTGAAGAGAGAGGACCCCCATGCTGGCCAGTCTGAAGTTCCATCCCTGCCTTCACACACACACACACACACACACACACACACACACACACACACACAGAGCTCCTCCCAAGGCAGTGGCATCTGCATCTGCCACCTGCCCTTCCCACCCCAACCCCCATCCCATGGCTTACAGTGAAGTAAGCAAGGCCCAGTGGGTCTTGCAGCAGGCGCTCAAAGGACAAGGCCCAGCCAGCCACAGGCTGCTCCTCGGTGGGGAAGGGGCTGCTGGGCCCACTGGGGAGACTGTGGATGCTGAGGGAACTGCCTCGGCCCTCGCCCTGGCCCTGGGACCCCGCTGGGTTGCTCAGCTCTGCAAGAGGATGGACAAGTGGGGGTGAGCCATGTTTCTCTCCCAGCCTCTGCCCAACTGCACCTCCAGTGGGCATCCACATCGCAGGTACCATCTCCATGCACTCCCACCTCCCTTTTCCCTCTCCCCCTCCAGTCCTTCTCCACACGTTGTCACTTACCTCCATCTGAAACAGCCAGAACCTACAAGAGACCGAAGGAGAAAGTCAGAGCAGAGCCCTATGAGTAATTTCAGGGTATAGTTCTGGGCCCAGCCTCCGCAGAAAAGAGCTGGCACTGTATACCCTCCACTTGAACAGACATGTAGGGTGTCACCAGCCACTCACTGCTTGGTCAGGGTGTTGGTCACCTTTTTTCCATCATGTGTAAATGACTGAGCTGGGACTTATGCCAGGTACTTTTGGTGGCACCATCCCCATCAGCCCCAGCCCCTGCCAGGTGAGCCCAAGTATACACTGCAGACTTTAATCCTGTTTCTGTCACTGCGTGACTTTCGGCAAATTCATTTGCTCATTGGTTTCCATCTGTAAATAGGGGATGGAGATAAGAATAGCAACTTCCTGCCTAACCTAGCACTGTTGTGAGAATCCAATCAATTTGCTATATTTATAGCATACAGAGCAGTGACCAGCATGTGGTAAAGTCTCTATCAATGCTTGCTGTTGCCTTTGAGGAAGGAAAGGTGTTTCTGTAGCCAATGATCTCCTTATCACAAGGGCTGGGATGCAGGTTCTTCCACAGTCCCCCCACCCCGCCACCTTGGAGAGGCAGAGAATGCTCCCCACCCCAGCACAAGGGACTGAACCCAAAGCTGTTGCACTCAGGTAATTCCCCAGTTCCCTATTCTGAGATAGGGTCTTGAACTTAAAATTCTCCTGTCCCATCATGCTCACTTAGGATGTTATTTTCATAGTATGGAGCAGTAGCTCTTAAATTTTGCCATAGAGTGACCAGAAAGAGCCCACATCCAGAAAGTCAGGGTCCGCAGATCCAGGACGGAGCCCAAGGCTTTTATTCTAACAAGCACCAGAAGCTGCTGATGCTGCAGTCCGGGAAGCACTCTAGTGGCAGACTGCTGTACAGGCCGACTCCATCCTCCCCCACCGCACACACTAATGCAGTCTTCTCTGGGAATTCCAACCATTAATGAAGCAGAAAAAACCTCTTCTTGACATGAGTCTTGCAGTGCCTTCTCTTGATTCCCTTCCTACCTTCCTAGCAGTTCCCCTATTTTCCTCATCATCTCCTACTCCTGAGGCTGGCCTCGTCTCCTCAAGGGCTCTGTCCTGGGCCTTTTGTCATACCCTCCCCCCACCAGATCTCCAGCTCTAACCACAAGCAGTCCACTTCCTGCTAACGTCTCCCTCCAAATGTTCCATAAGCCATTCAAACCCTGGGACTCTGAAATGGAAGCCCCTTTTGTCCCCGCAGCCCCAAAGACCCAGAGTACTGAGCTAGCTAGCCTGCATTCCATCTTTCACCCATCACCTGGGCTCCTAGCACCAGAGCTTGAGTCATCCCCAATTTCCTCCTCCTTCTCACCTCCTACATTTCTCACTAGGCCCTGTCACAGGATCTTTCATCACCTGTCCCTTCTTTGCATCCCCACTGAAACAGGTCTGGAAACATTTGACCCCAAAAGCCTCTTCTGCCCTGCTCTGTTCCCTACTCCCAACCTAGAAGCGCCCAGGTCACAGCACAGCATGTAGGCCAGACCAAACCTGCAGATAGGAGGATATTATTACCTTGGTGCTCAGATTTTTTTAAGATAAAAGGGGCTTCTGTGACTTAACAATCAAGAGATTTGACATAAAACTAGTTTTCCACATCTTCCTAAAGGCTGTGGTGTTCCAGGTACCCTGGGCTTCTTCCTGGCACGAAACCTTGGCTGGTACTGAGCAGCTGCTGCCTTCCTGAAAAAGGGCTGGCACTCCCTTCAGAGGGCTTTGGGGCCAGCTTGATGCCTCTGTGTTACTTTTGGGGTCTTATACTTCAGGAGCTGCCTCAGTCCAACTGATTTCAAATTTGTGCTGTGTAACCTTTGAAAAGACACTGAATTTCTTTGTGTCTGGGTTTCTTCCTCTCTAAATATTCAACAAATAATGACCCTGACTTGAAAGGATTGCTTCAGTTAAATAAATTAAATAGACATAAAGAACTCTGAACACTATTTGGAACATAGGAATTAAAGGTTCACAAACATTATAACTGTCACTATATCAGTCCTGATGCAATCAATATTGATGATCCTGCTAGCCATTTGAGTTTGCCATCCCTGCCATAGAAGAAAGAACACAGGTGTTGTAGGCCTCGAGACCCAGACTCAAAGCTGAGCCCTGACTTTTTCTAGTTTTATCACATTGGGTTTCTCCCGGAGCCCCATCTCTCATCTGGAGCATGAGGTAAACAGTTGCTGAGCAGGAGAGAAAGTTTTCACAGAGGCTGAACGTGGGATGGCTCCTTCCAGGGTACGCCGCGCCCTACACGCCCTCCCTTGCCCTACCTTTGTGCTCCCACAGGTGACCCCTGTCATTAGTCACCCCCCACAACAAAGGTCAGCACTCCCACCGCTATGTAGAAAGCCTGACTCAGGGACAGGGGGCAGGGGAGGCAGCTTCGAGGGAGGGACATGAGGAAGCCCTCAACAAGGCTGAAGATCCCTCTCCAGCCTGCTCTCTCCCCTGGTAGTTTCACCAGCCCGCACCTGCCTGCGCCTTGCCTTGCCAGTGCTGGTCCTCCCCCGGGGTGCTTGCAGCTGTGTTCCCAGCTTCAGAGATGCTGTCACCAACCTCCTCTCCCCCATTTCACTGGAAATCATCACCCTCCCTCTCAGCTGTGGCTGCCTGGCTATGCCCCCCTCAGGCACCCTTCATACCCTGGAGTCTCTGTCTTGTTGGTCACCCCTGAATTAACCTCTGCTTTGTCTCCTGAGCAGAGCATGGCGAAAGGAGCTGGGACATAAGCCAGCCCACACTCTAATTTTGTTTGGCTTGTAGAGGTTTTATTTCTACATCATGTTGAATTGAATGTCTGTGTCCTCAAACAGAGATGGATCCCAGGTCCTCTCCAGGACCTACTTCCATCATACCTCTCCTAGTTGTTGCCCATTCCCAGTCCCCATGGGTGTATCTGGCCATTGCCAGGTTATAGCTAGCTCCTCCAGCTTTGCCCATTTTCCTCTCCTCTGTCTCCACTCCTGACTTTACCAACTTTTCCCTTCCTCCACATCCTGACACATTCTTACTTCCTACTTTATTGTTTCCTCTGCCTAAGAATCTACTTTTGCATGTCTCCCCAAAGTGCTCCAAGATCCTGCCCATTGGCAGCAGTCATTCTCTCATTCTCCTTTCCAGCTGTGCCTATGCCCACCCAGGTCTGGGTCTCTCCCCTGCCAGGCTAGCAGCTGGAGGACAGGCCTGGCTGTGGGGAGGGAATGCGTATGAACTCTGTACTCCAGAGGCACTGGTTTCCTTCTTTGAACCAGTGTTCCTAAGAGCCCTCATGGTCCTGGTCTAACATTCCAAAGGCCCAAGTTCTTCATTCTTCATACCATACAAAATTCTGTGCCCCTGATGCCTCACTAGCTATGGATCCCATAGTTGAAACTGAGCTGTCTGTATGGACAGAAATCTAGAGCTGGGAGGAGTAGGAATGCAGGCCATGTCCTGTTCTGCCATCTATGGACAAATACCTTCCTTTTCCTGAGCCTCAGTTTCCTCCAGGGTAGCACGGGGCTCTGCATTCCCAATTTCTTAGGGCTGCTGTGAAGCACAGTTGAATGAGGACCCGCCGCACCCTGCATGCGCCCTATGGAAGCACCAGGCATGCTTGGGCGGCAGCCCATCTCAACACTGGGATGTGACATGTCGTCTCCCCCAATGAACAGCAGATGCATACAGGTGGGTGCAGATGCTTGCTTCCTGGGGTTCTGCCCTGCACAGGCCCAGGGAGGTTGTGTTTTTTTCTTTTTTTTTTTTTTTCTTCAGCCTTTGGTTTGCCTCAAGAAGTTGTGTGGAGCAGGGCTGGCCTTGCCTTTTCTCTGCCTGCTTGAGGAGAAGTTGGTGAGGGAATAGAAGAAAAGGGGAAGAAAGAGTGAGGAAGGGTGTGGTGGCCAGTGACACTCCTGCTCTGAGGTCAGGCTTCAGCTAGCCATGCTTTGTTCTTAGGAAATGAGCCGTGGGAGTGTCACTGCAACCTGAAGATAGTGTGGAGATGATGAGGCCCCAAATGTCCTGAGTTCCAACTGTGTGAGAGATACTCTCTGGTGGCCCACATCCACAGTGTCATTCCATCCTTACATCTTCATCCTCTGCAGCAGGTATATTATCCCCATTTTACAGATTAGGAAACTGAGACCCAAAGAAGTCACACAGTTGGCAAATGACAGGCACCAGGCTGTAGGCAAACATCCCCAATGAGCATCTGGAAGCTTCTGCCTCATGGAGAATGAAATGAGAAAATGGTGCAAGTGCCCAGAACAGAAAATGCTCAAGAAATTACTATTGCTTGGAGGTTTGACCTCCAAGCTGTTTCCTAATCTGTAAAATGGGGGTAATATACCTGCTGCAGAGGATAAAGATGCAAGAATGGAATGACACTGTGGATGTGGGCCACCAGAGAGTATCTCTCACACAGTTGGAACTCAGGACATTTGGGGCCTCATCATCTCCACACTATCTTTCCTTTCCACCTGAGCCTGCCTTGTGGAGCTGATTTCTATCCTCTCCTTCTGCTTCTGCTTCTGCTTCTGCTTCTCCTTCTGCTTCTGCTTCTCCTTCTCTTTTTCTTCCTCCTCCTCTTCCTCCACCTCCCCCCCACCTGCCTGCCTCTCTCCCTCTGGAGACTGAACCCAGGGCCTTTACCCTGAGATGCATCCTCAGCCATCTTTTATTCTTCATTCTGAAACAGGGTCTTGCTGAGTTGCCTATCTGAGTTTGAACTTGCTATCCTCCTGCCTCAGCCTCCCAGGGTGCTGGGATTAACTGTGTGTGCTACCCTGTCCTGCACCTTTAGGCCCTCTCTAAAGACATTCTATAGTGGAGTGCATGGTCCTGAGCCAAAAATCAAGTAAACAGGGAAATATGTGGATTTGCTCCCCAGAATTTCTTGCCAAAAGAGATATACTAAATGGGTCCCATGACAGTGACAGAATGTAACAAGTACCCCTTTAGAAGCTTCCCTTTGGGGAATGTCTCTCTACACCCACTCTGCACTTTTCCACACACAGATCTCTTTCCAGGCCATTCCACCCTCTCCCTACATTCTCTTTAAGGACCATCTTCTCTGTGGCTGTAGTTAGTAAAGTTAGAATTTGCCAGGCCCCCTCAGGCTTTCTCTATCCCTGACCTGCATGCAGTTCTTCCCTGAAACAGAATTTCATTTTAGGATTTTTAAAAAAATTTTAGTATTTTTGGGCATGTGTTTTGCATTGCCAGCCTTGGAGCTGCTGGAGTGGGGAGGGGCTAGGCTGATGGGGCTGAGTCTTCAGTGTCCAGCTAGGATACATACAGCACAGACCAGAAGGAGGAGTTGTTGAATGAATGAGTGAGTGCACAAATGAAGTGGCAGTGGAGCCATATGGAGACAGCTCTGGGAGGATGCTGGGAGCTGTCTCTAAGTGACAGGTTTCATTGCAGCTGCTCGACAAGCTGAGCGGCAGAAAGACAAGGCTGACAAGTGAAGCTGCCTCACAGGGAATGAAAGAGGATGAGAGATGGGGGCAGTAGGAGGAAGGGGAGCACAGAGCAAGGCAGTGGTGGGAGGGGCACAGTACAAGGGCTGATCCTTCTCCTCCACAGCTGGCCTCATCATTTATTCCTCTCAGCCTCCCTTGGAGATCATTCCTGGAAGAAACCACATACTCGACCCACAGGTGTCTCTTCATTCACGTTCCTGTCAGAGTCATCAGTGCCTGTTCACCCTTCCCTTGCCCTAGCCAAGCATGGCCTTAGAAAGCTGCCCAGTGGCCAGCAAAAAGTGACTCAGAGAGTTACTGAGAGATGCTGAGGCATCTCAGGGGGCTAAACAGGAATAGGACAGGGTTAAGGTGGCCTCCCTACTTAGTATGATTTTTGCATTGAGATGTCGGGCTGATGCAGGAGAGACAGGGGTTAGGGCTCTCTCCCAGCCCCTTCAGCTCCCCTGCAGCTCCAGGCATTGCTCTGAAGCATCTATCCAGCTGCCCTGCCATGGATGTGGGGCTGGTCCTCCCTGGCTTTGTGGGCTGGACCCTTGGGAAAGGGTAAGTTAAGCATCATGCCTCTGGGCGTCATGGGCTAGAAAACAAAACACTTGAGTTCTTCCTGAACTTGCAAAGTTAGCTGGTGGTACAGATAGTGAGATGGAGGGGCTGAGGTGGCTTAGGAGGATTTGCCTTTCTCCTACCCAGCTAGCCTGAAGCTGGGAAAAAGCGATGCTGGAAGGAGAGATAGAGATAGGTTTTGGGAATTGGAGGTAGGAGTGGAGATAGGGATAGCTCAGCTTCTTGGTGGAGGGCAGGAGAACTTTAAGATGGGCTAAAAATCTCGGGAATATCAGGCTGGCATTTGTGCAGCCCTGACAAGGATTCACGGACCTCTTATTTAATCATCCCATTTAGTTATCTCAGTAGACTGTGATCCCTTCCACTCTCCACATTTTACAGAGGAAGACCCCTTGCAGTAAGGAACAGAAGAATTGGAACTGGAACCCAGGTTGCTCTGAATCCTTTGGCTTGTCTAATGGTGCTAGACTGGGACGGGGAAGGGGTGAATGACGGGTTTCCTTCCAGGGGTTGTTCAGAGGGGGCTATGCCAAGTGAGTCAGAACCCTGCTCTGTCTGCTAAATAAATGAGATAAACCAGACTCTCCAGTAGCAGCTTGGGTCAGGAGTTGAGAAGCCAGGGAGAGGTTGCAGAGGCTAAAGTGGAAGGAGCTTAGTGTTTAGCTACCTCTGCTCTTCCTGAAGGCTGAGAAACAGAATACACAGGAGCTGTACACCCTGGCCTGACTTTTCTGACATGTCCTATACTGCCCAAAGGACACTAGTTCTAGCAGGAACCCTCCAGAGTTGGTCAAGCTAGAGTAAGAGCTGCCCTTAACCTGACCTTGGGCACCCAGGGTGTAGAGTGAGGAGGGGAGGGAAAAGACTGAATAAGTTGGGGTGCTAGGGACATGGTGGAGATGGACAGGGTCTAGGGGCATAGCAGCTTTCCCTGCTATTCTGAGAAGTAGGTAGCCCAAGGTGAGGCCAGTAGTAGGCAAAGGAGCAGAGGATCCAGATAATACACTGGACCACAAGCCCGTACCCACTTTGCTCTGGTCTCATACCCCTGGGTTACACCAGGCTCCTATTGAGGCTGTCTGGCAAGATTCATAGAATGAAGGCACTGGATTCCACTGCCTGCAGCAGTCTTTGCCCAATTTCTCCCACCCATTGGCAGCCATGAACTCTTGTTTGGTCCTGCCGGGTGTGTCTCCTGGGCTCCACCCTGGGTGTACCCACCCTTCCTCGTGGCCCTGGCCCAGAGCCCACACTCACCATGCGCCCGTTGGGGACACCCAGGTGCTTGGGTTTTCCTGGCATGCCGCTGTTGATCTTGGGTCCCCGCCTCGGGGGCAGCCCACCATGGGGACCGTGGGTAGCGCTGGTCAGAGCGTGCACAGTAGCAGGCAGGCAGCAGAGAGAGCCTGTCTTCTCCTGCGGGCCCTCACATCCTGAAACACTAGCTCACTACCTCTTTTCTCTGCCACAGGAAGTGTCTCTATAGAAACCAAACCACAGAAAGAAGCAAGGTCTAAGAGAGCGAACGCCTCTTCCTACACACACACACACACACACACACACACACACACGCCACCAACGCACCCTTGGCAGCACCCCAAGGAGGTACCAACACACAGCAGAGGCCTCCCTGTGCCCAGTGAAGAGCCCATCCTTGTCTGGTTTTGCTAGGGAGCTGTGAAGTCTTGTCTGAGCACACAGAAATACACGGGCACACAAATAGGCACCTTTGTGTTTGACACTCAGGCAGAGTTTCCTATGCATATGTACACACGTGCATTGGCCCTACATATCTGCATATGTACCTTATTCAGCAGTTATTTCATCCCTGCTGTGTGCCAGGTATGTCCCTTCCCTGGGCAGTTGTACATGTTCAGAGTTTCTACCCCTAATTCTAGACAGCTGGAATTCCTGTGCCCAGATGTGCAGATAGGTGGACTCAGGTGTGCATGGCACAAACACAAGAGCTCTACTCCAGAAGGAGTACCTGGGCACTCAGTCCTGTGCATGCATAGTTTCTTTGACAGACACATGTGACAGCAACACCTGCACACAGATGTGCGTACTCAGACCCCTCACTGATGTGTGTAGTCAGGTATGCTTGTTCATCTACCTGAGTAGGGGAGCAATCAGGCACAACTATGCCAACAGCCTGTGCACATGCATACTCACTCGCATAGAAATCCCATCTTTTTTTTTTTTTTTTTTGGTGCACTTGGCATGCAGGCATTGTGCCACGGAACTACATCCCCAGCCCTAGAAATCCCATCATGGTATAGCAGCTCAGGCTGCTATAGAATAATACCATAGGCTAAGCAGCTTAAGCAACAAATATGTATTTCTCACAATTCTAAAGACTAGGAAGTCCAACATCACCATGTTGGCAGATTCTGTCTCATAAAGTCTCTTCCTCGTTTGCAGATTTCCATTGTTTTGCTATGTCCTCATGTTGCAGACAGCAGAGAGAGAGAGAAGAGGAAACAGGCACCATGCTGTCTCTTCTTATAGGGGCACAGATCCATCATAAGTGATCTCTACTCATGACCTGATTACTCCCAAAGACGTCATCTCTAATACATATCTCTAAATACCATCATATTGTGGCTATTGTGTCAAAATACATAAACTTTAGGGAGACATAAACTGTAGCATAGTAAGTACTGCTAGTCGAAGGATGGCTCCCTATGTGTTATGGGTTGTGTCTAGATGTCCTTCCAGGGTTGGGAGATAGCTCAGTGGCATGCCATGCTGGCCCTGGAACCTTGGGCACACCGTATTGGCCCCAAAACCAGGCATTGGGGTGCACACTTGTAATCCCAGCACTGGGGAGACTGAGACAGGAGGATCACTATGAGTCTGAATTATGTAGCGAAACCTTATACTAAATAAATAAAAGATTAAAATTAAAAGATAATAGATATCCTCCCAAAGCCTTGTGTAGTCTTGGGGAAGAGGTTCTAGATTTTGTGATTTATTCATGGTCCAGTGCTGGGATTATGGGTGTGAGTGCTATACCTGCCTTGGGGCAGGCAGCCTGCATACAGTATAAGGGACAGAAAGAGGCTGGGCTCTCTCTCCTCCCCTTTTTGCTCTTGATACTTTTGGTATTTTCCACAGCCATGAACTGTTTGTTCCTTACCATGCCACCCTGCCTTGGAGCCAGCTGAGTATGGATTGAAACATTCACAAAATGTGAGCTAAATAAACCTTTTCCTCTTTAATTTGGGTATTTGGTATTTTGTCTCAGTAATGAGAAAAAAGTAACCAAGACACTACCTTCACACCTAACCTAGCCCCAGATGATCTCAGGTCACTTAGCCAGAATCCTCAGGTGGCCTTCTTCTTATACATACATGTGATTTATATTTTATTCTAAACATAGGGTTACTTACAGACATCAAGTCACCCACCAGTCTGGATTGGATATACTCCTTTTATAGAGTCAAGACACCTACTTCTCCACAAGGTATCTATGACCCCACTGCCCTCTTCTAAGGCTGTGACCTGAATTTTTTAATAACAAGTCCTCATCACCAATTCATGTCCTAGGCACAAGGCTAAGCTTAATTTTCCAGGCTCCCTTGCATTTAGATGTGGCCATGTGACTAGTTCTCATCAATTGAATGTGAAAGAATGAGATGTGTCCTTTCTGGGTCAAGGCTTTGAAGAACCAGGTTTATATCATGAACCCTCTTAGCAGAATGGATACAGAAGACCACGAGGTCCTGTAGGATTGTGGAGTCATAAAAAAGAAAGCATTTAAATCTGAGCAGTAGTATGTGGAAGCATGTCATTAGCTTTGAACAGTTAGGAGAGCTCTCCAGGAACAAATTCTTTGAGGAGGAAAGCATTGGTAGAGGGGTAGTCCCATTTGCCTCCAGCACATTGTCTTTTTGAGGATAGGTGGACCTGTATTTCCTAATTTTTCTTGAAAAAGCAGAAATCTGGATTTCGGATGGGAATTTTAAGTACCATGACTTACATTAAGTCATACATCAAAATAGCATCAGTACTCTGGCTACAGAGCACCAGTTTGGTTTTTTTTGTTTTTTTGTTTTTTGTTTTTTGGCGGAACCAGGGATTGAACTCAGTCCCTTGCGCTTGCCAGGGAAGAGCTTATTCCACTGAGCCATCTGAGCACCAGTTTTTGATCTCATAATCACAGCCAGTCTTCCTGGACTTTTGAAGGGACCTTCTTGCTGTGCTGGGCACTGTCATTGTTTGGATCTAGATGAATTTCAACCATCACTAGGGTCCCAAGGCAGAATCCATACATGCTTTTCCTGCTTCAACCTGAACTCTGTGAGTTGGGGGTAGTTGAAGACCCCTAAATAACTGGGAATTTAGAGGCTGGGGAGATAGCTCAGTAGAATAAGCCCTTGCCTGGCAAGTGCAAGGACCTGAGTTCAGCCAAAAAAGAAAGAAAGAAAGAAAGAAAGAAAGAAAGAAAGAAAGAAAAGAAAAGGAAAGAAAGAGAAAGAAAGAAAGAAAAGAAAAAAGAAAGAAAGAAAGAAAGAAAGAAAGAAAGAAAGAAAGAAAGAAAGAAAGAAAAGAAAGAAAGAAAGAAAGAAAATTGGGAATTTAGCTTTCAACTAGCGTGGAGCTAGGTGGAGTGGATAAAGCTAGGGTTGGCTTCAAGGCTCTCCCCGGGGGTACCCAGTGAGTTCCAGGCGGCGCGGGGGCAGGGCTCCTGGCTTCCAGTTTCAATTCAAAGCTCCCTTCTCACCTAACTTGTGAAGTTGAGACGCGATTATTGCCCTGGGCCAAGTGGCTGACAGTTTAGTGGTCTTTGCGTGTCCCACCCCCTCAAGCTGCGCATAAAGACTACAAGTTCCAGCATGCCCAGTCAGGAGACGGCGCTCTAGCCGCTTTCGGCGCCTACGATTCTTGCTCCTCAGTGGCTCTGAAGCCTAACGTGCTGTTCCGCGATTGGCTGCAACTCTTGTCGCTTTTAAGAACCCGTTGCTGATGCCGGCCTGCAGGTGCCCTGGCGCCTCCAAGGTGTTGGAACAGTACTCGACCAGGATAAGGGGCTGCCCAGCTAATAAAGATGATGCTCACTCGGCTGTCAGGCTTTGCTTTTTAACTCCTCCGTGACATTGAAGTTGGAGGGCTTCCGGACGGAGGCCATTAGCTAGGACACCCGGAAGGCGGAAGTCCTGGGGCGGAAGTGGCCGAGAGTAGGGGAGAATGGCGGCAGAGGGTTGGTTTTGGCGCTGGGGCTGGGGCCGGCGATGTCCAGGCAGGACTGGGCTTCCCGGCCCCGGCCCTGGCCCCACTACACTTGTACATATTCTGCTGTTGCTGGGACCGGTGGCTGCGGATATAACTGACGGCAACAGTGAACATCTCAAGCGGGAGCATTCGCTCATTAAACCCTACCAAGGTGAGGCCTGGGCCGGGCATGAGCGACGGTTGAGAGTGAGTCTGGACTGGGTTGAAGGAAGGCATGCCCTTTTTCCTGAGCAGAGCGGTCCTGTGGGTTTCCTGCCTCTGACAAGGCCAGTCCTGGCATGACCTCTTACGCACCTGTCTGTGCCCGTCTTTCCGCAGGAGTTGGTTCCAGCTCCATGCCCCTCTGGGACTTCCAAGGCAGCACTATGCTCACGAGCCAGTATGTACGTCTGACCCCTGACGAGCGCAGCAAAGAGGGCTCTATTTGGAACCACCAGGTGAGTGGGCTTTTAGGAGACATAACATAGGCGGTGCAGTGAGCCACTGCTTCTCGTGAGCCAAGACCTGAGCTTGGTTTATCACTTACCATACGTAAGAAGCAATGGATATTGAGTAATTATTCTGTCAGGAACTTGGGTTGAGGCTTTACGTTTTCCTCATTTGATGTCTTCAAAAGCCAGGTGAGTTGAGTAATGCTATCAACCATTTTACTAAGAAGCTAAGGCTTAGAGTTGAATGAACCTTAGCCAAAGTCACATAGCCAGAAAATAATGGTGCTGTTAGGTTGTTTGAAGAACCATCTCAGTGGTGGGAAAAATGAAGCAAACTGGACCTGCACTTGGTATTTTGCTGGGGTTTGGGCATTATCCCATGCTTTATACTAATTCTCAAGCAGACTGCTTGAAATAGGTGCCTTTCATGACCTTATGCAGAGCTAACAGAGCCAGTAAACTACCTAAACAGTATTTAAACTGATGTGTCAGATCTCCAAGTTCAGCAGAGAACTAGAAACACTTGACCTCCTTCCAGGCAGAGAAGAACCCCTTTGTCATTCTTGTCCTCTTCTCCAGTGCTTGGTTGGGGGTCTTTTCATCAGTCTTGTGGCCAGTTTTGATGTTGGTGACTTTTGCCCTTTAGCCTGGGGTGTTACTGGCATGTTGTATGAACAGTGGCCAAGATGAGTTGCCACATAGTGTTTGAGCTAAGGAAATGTAGGTTGGAAAAGGGAATTATTTGGGGGTAGGTCATAGGTTTAGAAGAAATCTGTTTCTTCCCTAGTCTTCTTGATCCAGCCCTTTCCACAATTTGTACCACTGTCCAGGTTTCTGGTTTCCCTCAGCACTCTGCTTTTATGTCCCTTCTGGTTGACTTTCTCATTTAGTTCTGGGAACCCACACTGTCCTTGTGTTGCCTCATCTCTCTTCCTGCCTCATGCTACTACCCTGCTGCTCAAGGCATCTGTACTTTTTTCAGTTCTTGCTGTGATCCTCAGAGCCTGGGGTCTCCTATGAAGGATAACTGCACATTATGTCTGTACAATCTGGCCTCTGATATCTGGCATCTCTAGTCACTCTGTTGATGTTGTTCCAATTTCTCTGCCTGCCTTCTTGCCTCAGGACCTTTGCACTTGTTGTTCTCTCTGTCTGGGACATTACCTCCTGGTTCATCATGCCTACTTGGTTCCTTCTGTTAAGTCTCAGTTCAAGTACCACCCACTCAGTGACTATTTTATTAACTACCTTTACTCCCTCGAATCACATTCTGTCACATAATTCTGTTTTAGGATTCCCCTCACCCCCAGGGTCAGACTCAACGTCTTTGCACGTGCTAGGCAAGTGCTCTGCTCTACCCTACCCTCACTAATTTTTAAATATGACAATATATCTTTATATTTTTCACAGAAAAGAGTTTATTGTAATACTGAGTCTTTTTAAAAAGTGAGTCACAAATAGTATTAGAATTGTTAGAAATGGGTTTAGTTACAAGGAATAGTCCTACCCAAGAAAATGGTTTATGTTTGCAGGTAGCTAATGGCTAGTATTTTCAGTAGCTTGGAGATGTTACAGGACTGAGAACATTCTGTTCTTCTCTTTATCAAATTTTCAGTCTAAAATATAGTTGTCTTGCCTTCCTCTTCCATGTCGCCATTCAGCACCAGAGATCTTCCTTTTGGGCCCTGCTGATACTCCATAAATATTCGGAGTGCCTCTTGTACTTCCTCAACAAAGTTGCTTGGATCTCTCAGAATTTTCTGTTCAGTGTTTCCCAAGAACTATCTTTCCATTCATTGAGCTGAAGAGAGAAGCTTTCTGCATTTCTCTTTTTTTGTCTCCATTCACTTCATATGGGAGAGACACTAAAGTAGTAAACACCCGAGTTCCTGCTGTCTTTTGAAATGTGACATAGCTCAAAGGTGATTGGGACTCCCAGTGTCTGACAGCTGGAGCACAAGACAGAGACTCAGGCACCATCTTAAGGGCGTTTTATATAGAGGCTGCAGGAGGTTTTTTTTTTTTTTTTTTTCCTCTTTGTCCCTAGTAAAAGTTAATATAAAAAAGTCACCTTAATTATAAATATTTAGTGAGGTACATTGGTACACACTTGTGATTTCAGAACTCAGGAGGCCAAGGCAGGAGGATTGTGAGTTAAGGCCAGGCTGAAGTACATAGCAAGACCTTATCTCAAAAAATAAAAACAGTCAGATGTGCATGTCTGTAATCCTAGTACTGGAGGCTAAAGCAGGAGGATGAATGCAAACTCAAGGCCAGCTTGGACTACAAAGTGAGTTCAACGCCAGCTTGAACTGCATATTGAAACCCTGTCTCAGGAAGACAAAAATAAATAAAATAAAATTAATAAAAAGCAGATAGGCATGGTGGTGAGTCCTTGTAATCTCAGCACTTGGGAGGCTGAGGCAGGATTGGTGTGAGTTTGAGGCCAGGCTACGCTACATATTGAAATCCTGTCTCGGGGCTGGTGAGATGGCTCAGTGGTCTAAAGCACCTACTTAGAACAAG